CACACTCTTTGTGTGATGTAATAGCGAGATACTTACTCTAACGTTTACTACTGAATTTTATTCTCAATGGGTGGCATATGTCCGTGTATAGCTAAGAATTCAATATACAACAGCCACATCAATGCGTTCTTCGAAATGGCCGCGTATTATTCTCGGTTCATAGTCAAAATATCGAATCAACATGGCGGCCAATGTTCCAACATTAAATATTTATAATTTAAGAAAAATCCTAATTTCTTTTGGACACCGACAATTTTAGGTTTTTTTTTTATATCATGATGGTTACCATAATTATCATCGTGTGGACTTAGGGTCGCTTGACAACTGCGCACATGACCAGCTCCCTCAGTTCTTCGCTAAAGTCTGAGTCTCTGTGAAATATCATCCAGTCCACTCAGTGACCTTGTCAGACCATTTTTTTTGTCTGCTTCTTCTTTCTTTGCCTAATGTGGTACCTTGTAGCTTGTATTTCATCATTTTAAAATTTCCTGCGGTGTTTAGAGTACCACTATTTAATTACCCTGTGCGTCATTGAAAGAACACTTGAAATGATTCTAAGAAAAACCCTACCCTCTTTTGAACAACAAAAATTGTTCAGATTTTTTGTATCATTATCATAATCATCATCAATCCCATAACAATGCATCGTGTTAGGGTTGCTGGGTAACCGAATATCTGACTAGCTCCCCCCAAATATCTGGGTGGCATGCTAAAGTCTGAGTCTCTGTGAAATATTATCCAGTCCACTCAGTGATGTTTTCAGACCATTTTTTTCTTCTGTCTGCTTCTTCTTACTTTGCCTAATGTGGTACCTTGTATTTTTTTTAATTTCTGCATTTTAGAAATAAATACTCTGTGACATTTTTAAGCAAATAAGAATAAAATACAGAGTGATCCAAAAAACGGGAATTTTTTAAGTGCATATTGCCAGACAGGAGCAAGTGGCAACACTGCGAGACAGTGACATTGAGCAAGTAAACATTGCGCCATTTAGAATTCAAGATGAAATTCAGAGTATCCCAGCTGAGATATTTCAGCAGCCAATGAGAAATCTCAACAGCATATTTCAAGAATGCATTCGTACAGGAGGACGTCATCTACAAGACGTAATTTTTAAGAAATGAAAATTCCATCATTGTTTCCTAAATGGCATGTTTTAAGGTTTCAATTACTATGAATAAAATATGTTTCTTATATTTCACTCTTGGTTTTATTGGATTGTTAAAAAGTTCCCATTTTTGTGGGTCACCCTGTATAAAGAAAATTTCAACAAATATCAAAGGGAAACTATAATTTGAAAGCATATGATGTTATTTGTCAACAAATACATCTGCACTTTTACTTCATCATTGAAAGAGCATACAAATATAAAAGAAGTAAAGGGTTTTAACAATATCGCGTAGTGGTTACCAAATAATGAATGTAACTAACATCGTAACACGCCGGGTTGACCCATATAAAGGGTGAGCGACAGAAGAAAGTCTTGTTCTCCCAATTTCGTTTTCTCCATTATAGGTATTATTCTAGACACGGACGGAATGGAATAAATGGAATAAAAAGGAATGGCAAATATGCTTTGTTCTCAGAGAGTTTTATACCGCCAAGTAGTACCCAAAATTATATATACATAATTCCAAGTCTCCCACGCAGAGAAAATATATTCCATATCTACACAGCAAGTAGAGTCAAAATTAGACGGAAAAAGAAATCCATACGTATAATAACTGCCAACGTCAATGGAGTATGCCGCAGGTTCGTCTGTATTTCTAGAGAAGTCATATTTAGGATTCCGGATTCAAGTGTGACGGATTAATTTGCTTTGTCGGTAGCGAGGACATATTCCTCAAACGGGAAACAGAGAATCCTGAGTTTTTTCCAAACATGAGAACTGTGAGCCAGCAATAGTTCTTTTTCTATATCTGCGGAAGATGTATTTCCATAGGAAATCGCTGCCACAGACTTGTAGGAGATAGTTTTAGCCTCACACCTGGCCAAGGATAAATCTGCCTCCCATAAAAAAGCAACTACACAGTTAAATTCCTGGAAGCTGACTGACTGTCACTTTTGTCACAATCCACTAAGCGGTCGGCGTGTGACTTACCTGAGTACATCTCGAGCAAACGGAGATAATCTTTTTGTATCCCTAAAAAGAGGTTTCTTTTTGTCTATCAATGCTGAATACTGGATCCTTAGCTATTCAAGTTAAAGATGGTAGCGCATTTCGTTTTATTGTACTCGCCTTTTTTTTTAGTAGTATAAAACAATTAAAACCCTTTTTATTCCTGGTCACTCTAAGGGTGATACTGGTATCATCTGACACACTAATACCTGCCGGATGGTCGGGTCATCTGTAACTAATGACGTTAACCTTACCAGGTTTTTTTCTGGTGAGAAGAGTGGTTAGACATATAAAATTATTAAAAATAAGACAATCAAAGAGGGAATTGTCCTTTATTTGGGGTTAAATGCCACGTATCCGAATAATTTAAACTGAGATCCATAGCTAACGTGCAGCGAGTTGGATGAAGTCAACTGCTAGGATATAGGGCTCCCACGGTGGAATCAAAGGCGAGTCTTCAATTTGGAGAACATTAGTTGAGTTTGACCTGGAGAAGGATAGGCTCCATCATATACACTTGCCCATGAATGAATGAAAAAAAAACCTGGATTTCGACCCAGACATGAAGAGAGAACGGTTCAGTTGCTTAGTTGCGCTCTGACCCTATGACAACGATAATAGGTTTTTACAAAGTCGTGAGGTCTTTTTTTATAAGAAATAATATATATATATATATATATATATATATATATATATATATATATATATATATATTTAGTTTATGAAAAACTAGTTAATTCGTATGGGTAAACCTAAGGAGGATAACATCCAGGGAGCCCAATGTAAATCCAGAGCAAATAATTTAAATAAAAACAGACCATTTTAAAGTTCCATGTAATAAATTACTTCACCACAGCCCTTTTAAAAGGATTGCAGATCATCAGACATTACTTCCAAATAAAAATGAAAAAAAAAAAAAAAATATATATATATATATATATATATATATATATATATATATATATATGTGTGTGTGTGTGTGTGTGTATATATATATATATATATATATATATATATATATATATCGAAATCCAGGTATTTATTCATATATATATATATATATATATATATATATATATATATATATCAGAACTTCTCTTTTGTCCCAAGCATTTATTTCATTTCAATTTTCCACAGTTTTGCTTTTTTGCTCATATAAATTTCTTAGCTAGCTAGTTTCAAATTAATCTCATAGATAATACTAGATAATCCCTTACTCAAACTTTCATAATTAAACACTGGCCGAAAATATTAACTTAAAAACAATTTTTCGTTACATTTATAAGGACGTGTAAATATAACAGTTGCAGCTTTGTTTATTCTTTCCTTTTATTTTTATATCGGGATCTTCTCAGTACTTTTTTTTTTAAGAGGCTAATTATTTATTAAAAGTCCTATTGATAATGTCAATACATTGGTTCCTGTTTACTCGTGGGAGAATTGACAGTCACTATTATTATTACAAGAGCAAAAGAAAACAATACGTGAAAAAGAGATAACCTTAAATTAAGATTCCGAAAGCCTATACTGTGTCCTCAAATAGTTTCCCACGCAAAAGGAACCACATATAAGTTGTTTTTTTTTCGTAATAATCAGTGAGATAATGCATTCATTTGAAATGACGCCGCGAGCATTCTTCTATGTCACAGAATCTGGAACAGGCGGATGTTGATAATTTGTTGTTGTAGTATTATTTTAATGAATTCAATCCAATCATGTCAATAATGTCACTAAGGCGCAGTTGGTTACTGAGAGTGGAAGAGAATGAAAATATTACTCTTATTTTTGGAAAAAACAAACAAATAAATAGTAGATAAATTTTCGCGGGGTCGTTAGAAGCATATTTTTGTGGTAGACGTTAGAAGATATCAGTCGTAAACCGTTTGCTAGCTTTGTTCCTCATCATTTCTCGGTCTTGCCATTTTAGCAAGCTTAGAGAGTGGCAAGACCTAATAGTTGCGATAACATAATGCTACAATAACATGGAATATAAACTACTCAAGAAAGGATTATTTTTCTACTGATTTTTGTCCATTTCAAAAGTGCCTGTCTATATTTCTGAGATGAGGTTTTATGTACACTGTTTACATTATTCGGATTATTGTCATCGTCTTTGTCGTCATATTTATTACAACGTTTCGGGTGTTGTACGCCACTTTCTTCTGTTTTTTTTTTTGTAATGTCGAACTGAACCCTTTATTTCGCTCACTGGGGTAGACTATTCTAGTTCCACGTGACATGTATAATGGATATCAGTTATTTCCTGTGAATTCTCCTCTCCAATTCTCCACTGCCTTAACTGAGTATTGAACTCACACTCTTTGGGTCATGTCACTCGATCTAACTAACGCCTTTATCCACTGTGCCATGTGTCCTTGAGGACTGAAATCCATTAAAACATGGCACGTGGAACTAGAACAGTCTACCCCAGTGAGCGAAATAAAGGGTTCTGTTCGACATTCCAAACACCTGATGAAGCCGGAGTGTACAACGGCCGAAACGTTGTAATAAATATGGTGAAAAAGATGAGGACAATACTCCGAATAATGTAAATAGTGTATTTCGAAAGTGGTTTTATTTCCAAACACCTGAAGAAAACCGGAGGGTACAACGACTGAAACGTTGTAATAAATATTCCGAATAATGTAAATAGTGTATTTCGAAATTGGTTTTATTTTCAAATGTTGCTTTCGAATATCAGAATGCAGAATAAGAGAAAATGCAATGTCACCAAATAGTTTTTAATTACAGTTCATGTGCGAAGTCTAAATTATCTTCGAAATGTGATGCGTACGAAAATACGGTCACCGTGCGAATGATAGCAACTGAAGTGAAGGGAAAATCATTTTATGGCCTTAATAAATATTTGCTTCATGTAAACGCTGTAATATTACTTTTTGAGCAATCAGCAATGAAGGAAAGGCAAATGCATGAATGAATGAAAGAAGAATTATGTAAATCAAGGGAGAGAAAGAACAAATCTGAGTGAAAGAAATAAAGAAAGAAAGTAGTAAAAAAAGAAAATATGAAGGAAAGAAAGAAAAACTAGTGACAGTAAAAAAGAACGTAAAAAAGAAGGAAAGAAAGAAGAAAAAAACTAAAGAAAGAAAGAATATATATAAATACTGTAATACTTAATTTTGCGAAAGCAACAATGACCGAAATGCAAATGAATGAAAGAAAGAAGAATTATGTAAATCAAGGAAGAAAAAGAACAAATCCGAATGAAACAAAGAATTGGAAAACGAATGTAAAAAAGGAAAAACTAAAAAAAAAAAAAAACTAAAGGAAGAAAGAAAGAGGTAACAAAAGAAAGAAAGAAAAGAGGAACCAAAAAAAAAGAAAGAACGAAGAACCAAAGAAAGAAAGAAAAAAAGTAAAAACAATAGTGGACAGGTGAAGGGGAGGATGAAATGTAGATTACCAAAAAAAAAAAAGAAAAGAAAATAGCTAAAAAGAATAAAAAGGTAATAAAAAGAAAGAGAAACCAAAGAGAGAAGAAGAAAGAAAGAAGGATAAAAACGTAAAAAAAAAATGGAAATTACAACAAAAAGGAGCGAAGAAGGCAGTGGAAGAAAGAAGAAATGGTATGGGAAAAGAAAAGTAAAAAGAAAGTACGAAATATTGAGAGAAAATGTAGAAAATCAAAGACATAACAAAAATAAAATATAGAATAAGGAGATCAAACAATACAAATAAAGAACGAATGAAATAAAAGAAAGAAATATTAACAGAAGAAGAAAGAAACGATATCTAGAAGGAAAATGAAAACAACAAATGAAATCTATCGCAACGGAAAAATATATAAAAAAAAGAACAAATGAAAACAAAATAAGAAAATATTTACACAAAATATAAACAAACAAAAATACAATTCTTCTGTTAGCGCTCTGAGATCACGTTCAATGAATCAATATCCATTGATTTTTGAAAGTGCAATGCTTCTATTTTCGGTAGAATATTGATAAAAGCCAAAAATCACATCAGAATAAATAAATATAGAGAAATGGAAAGAGAAACAAAGTCGTGCTAATTTTCAAGATTGATAAAATTAGCAGAATCAGGTTAAGAGTCAAATTTGTGTCCGTTTCACTAATTCTAATCCATATTCTTCGTTATGGGAGACTTTTTTTTTCTTCATCGAGAAGATTTCATATTTCACCTCTCTTGTCAGCAGTTCAGACACACCTCACTTCATTTAACTTTGTTGCTGAGACGAGTTCAACAACCACACCCGAAGTTTAAGATATTTTCACTCTCTACCTGAATATGAGGCGCTCGAACTACAACTTTAATCCAAAAAGCTCTGTTTGCTTGAGTATAACTGATTTCCTTATAACCAATGGTAACCGATTATAGTTTTTATAGTAAAGTTTTATTCTGTTTTAGAAATAATAGGAAAAATTTAAAAAAATATAAATACAAACATTTATTTTAATATTTGTTTTTACTAATACAAGACTCAAGAACATTCGTTATGTCAATGCACATTCGGATTTCAACGTTGCACTTTGCGAACTCTGCTAAAACAGTTCACAGATATGTAACATGTATTACTTTGTTCTTATTCCGAATTTATAACTTCCATTTGCTGAAAACCATGCATTCTGTCTTCTTGAAATGAATGTTTAGTCCCTTTATCTCATTTTCCTTCATTACCTTCTATAGGAATTCTTGTAGATTCCTTTCTATGTCTGCTATCTATCGGCACAGTGTCATCTGAATATCTTACGTTGTTAAGAATGATATTACATTCACTTGGAGTTCTAGTTATTCTAGTATAGTCTCATTTTAAATTCTGAATATTTGCGGTGAGAAAACTCGTTCAACCACTCAAGACACTATGTTATCCGTACATATAAAATTTTTGTGATTATTCTCACCAGTAACAAAGGACGTTTCATTAAGCCGTATCATATGTAAGGGTGATTCATTAAAACGGATTATATATAAGAGTGTTTCATTAAGGCGGATTAAAATCAGCAGTAAATAAATCTGTGTTATTCGTGAAGATTTATTGATTTCTCTATTAGATCATATTATTTAACTCATGGGAATGATGTCTAAAAAATAATATTGTCCAAAATGTTCGCCAAATCTGAAAGAATATGAAACAAAATCATTAAACGTTTAAACTAATTCACATTTAAAATCTGTCCAAGCTGTTGGAACACACTTTATATCCTGTTAGTGCTTCTAAATCTCATCAAGTTTGTCTACGGACGGTGACAGCTATTGGCATTTTCTGGCCCTCTACATCCAGATAGTTGCAGATAGAGATGAAGGCCTTCAGATCGATCATTATTTCGAAACTCGATCCCACGGTCAGTTCGTCAGAGGAAGCACTGTGTATCTGTACAAATTCGCATTGATATGCAGCCAAGTGCACCCTGACGATCTGAGGAAAAACCTCATATACGGATACTTTACTCCTCCGTCTGCTTTCATATTCTGGTTGCAGAAATAGGCCATTCGTGAGAATGTACCGACTGGATGCAGCTTCAAAGTCGACAGGCGTGTGTAACAGTACGCCCACACGAAGTTTCTCTTTCATTTTAACACCCTCTGAAGTTTGACCCCCAGAGACTCCAGCGATTTTGTGAACATGTATTTTGTGGAGCGATAGAATTTTTTGCGAACGCTTGTCCACCACAAGCAATGACAATTCTTTTTTTCAACTTTCTGTAAATCCTCATCTTCTGTAATAAGATGTGCGTAGCTTTTAGCTTCCTCCCGGAATTCCGTAATGTTGATAGCACACTTGGGCGGGGACTTTCAACAGGAGGGTGTCTGTCTAACCGCTACATTGTCGTTTTTGTAGTTGTTCTCGTCATTAGCTTCTCCTGTCTTTGATGAATTTTGGCCGTTTTCGGCCACCATACTATTCTCCAAAACCTTATTTTTCAAATTTTGGCCTTTTTAGGCCACCATACATTCCTCCAAATTCTTGGGGTTTTTTTGTATCCCAAAAAGATTTTTTGACCGCATTTTTTTTCTTTTAAAACAAGCTTTTTCTTTTCTTTTACATAACACGGAAAAATAAAATTAAAAATAAAATTATGCAAAAATGAAAACATAAAGACTAATAAATCACAATTTTCTTCAACAACAGTAAGGAAATAAAAAAAAAGATTTAACAAGAATAAAATGAAAACACAAAACTTTTGCACGTGCAAAATATTATTAAAAAAGAAAATTGCGTAAAACACAGACGAGAAAAAATGGTAGACGTCAAAAAAGGAAGCGAAAAATTAAATATATGCAAAAGACAATTAAAAAGTTTAAATAATTGAATTACAAAAGCAAAAAAGGAAATAAACTGAAAAATATTAGACGTACGAAGACTTAAAATGAAAAAAATACAGACAGTAAAACAATCAAGAAAGAAAGTAAGACGTTTAACAGCAAAATGTGTAAGTTTCTGTTAGGGGACCTTACCCATAATAACATAATGGACTATTCCATACGTAATAAATACTGCGCCTCAAGTGGAAGCAGTGAGTTCAGTCCGAAGTTGGGCGACAGACTGATCGGTTGAACTCTCTGCCTTCGGGCGGGGAGGAACCCGAACGAGGCTAAGCCGAAGGGCAGAGTTTCTTTCGGGGAGGTAAACCGACCCTGAACCCGTTCATACGGGTTCAAAGGTCATATTTTTGGCCGAGCCCACGGGCTTGGAGATCCCACGTTAAGCCGGTCTTGTGCCACATGATGCCCTGGTGGGAGGTGACTAAATACCGTTCCGTCTGAAGCCGGGAGTTCAGTCTGAAGTCTGGAGTGAAGTCCGCCAGGAGTCTGTCAGTCAGTCAGAGCGAGCGATTCCGTCAGTCGAGTCAGAGGCAGTCCGAAACAGAATCGGGTTCAGACAATTACTAGTAAACCCGATTGTTCGTACTAACACTTTCTACTTCTCTGTATATAATCCTGTTTGTGATATATCTGTGTTATTCCATATCCGCCTTCGAGTTTTCTTTATTGGTTCTACCTTAGACTATCACCGTGGTACAAGGAACCGGACCATAACAGTTTCTTTTCTTTTTTTAAAAATACAATAAAAAAAAATAGAATAAAATGCTACAAAAGAAATACGGAAAACAGACAAGACTTAACATTACAAGATGGCGAAAAAGAAAATAAACAAGTCTGACTAAACGAACGAAACATGAAAAGTAAAAAAAAAAAACGATAGAATAGACAAAATAAACAGGAAAATTTAAATTAGAAGTAATAAACAAGTCTTAATAAATAAAAACACAGATGTTTAACAGGACCACAAAAACAAAGAACGAAGTAATACGTAGAAATTATAAGGAGACAAAGAACATAATGTTGAACGAGGATACAGTAGACTTAACATTTAGAAGAAATAAACTAGCCCTGACAAATGGAGCGAGACAATGCGAAAATCTCCGAGTGTACCCCATTCACTTCCAGCAGCGCAGTGGGAGTCGAACACAGAAGTCGAATGCAGATGCGAATGTACGACCCGAAACCGGCCACCGAAAGCACTGCTTCCAGAAATCGATGGTTCACCCTATAAAAGGCCTTGGACTGATCTAAACTGATCAGAGAGGTTTCACTATAGACTTACTCGATGATCAAGTGTACTAAATGAAAGCTCTCCTGAATAGTTCTGCCATTCGCAGCACAAGTCTTTTCGGAGCTAATCAGACTGAAAAGGACAGCCTGCAAACGGTTCGCTAAGACTTTAGCCAAAATCTGTAACTCTTGATTTAGCAAAGTTAAAGAGCAAAAGTTATCTAACCTATCTCCACAGTTCTTGTCCTTACATAGCAACATGATCACACCTCTTGTGAAGTGCTGATGTATAGACCATTGCTTCATCCAGTTGTTGAAAATACGTGCCAGCAAGGGAACAAAAACGAGCGACTACTTCAAGTACACTTCGTAAGGTACACCATCTAATCCCGGAGACTTTTCTAGGCCAGCCTGCTTCAGCGTTTCACAGATTTCCGACTCTGTTAAGGGACCCTCGCACCTAGCCGCCTCAGCTGCCTGAAGGCAGGGAAAGTCGGCTAAATAGGCGTCGAAATGAGCAGCGCTCGGATCGGGTCCCTGGTGAAAAGTTCCTGAAAGTACTCACAAAAAGCTTCACATGTGCCCCTGTTTATAGTCACGATCCGATTATGCTGCGATGTGGCACACGTGATATGTCGCTGAGATTCATTCCGACCTTAACCTGTACGCAGTTCAGAGGCCATATTCTTTGCCACAGAGGACATTATTTTTAACTTTTCCCTAACTACCAGAACTTGAATATTCTTGATATGCAGGGAGGCTAGCTCTATCTAGATTGCGCAAAAGACTATAATCAGATGCAAACGTTCTATTTTTTTATTTTAAATTGTCTCACCAGTCATTTCCTACCTCAGCCTCCGTCAGTTTTCGCTGTTTCATCAATAGCAGCTAGTCCCGGAAATCTTGCTTAACAAATAATGATAGTTCAAATTCCAGTATCCAGTCATTCCAATCTTAAGCTTATCTAAGTTTACACGGGCCCAAATTCGAATAAACTATATATTAGAAACTTGAACACCCTAAGAGCCCTACACCGACTCTCCTGACTAAGGATCGGTCGAGGTACTAAAACGCACCTCTTTAGACGTGGCGTCCCTATTTCTCCAAGTCCATACTACATCCCGAGGTTGTTCATTCCGGTACTTATCGACAAGATCAAACTTAACAATGAAGTCCCGAAATGGTTTCACGTCCCGGTTGTTTTTACCCTAATTTGATCCTATACGATCTATGTTGGTGTCAAGGATGACATTCAAATCACACGCTAAATCTACCCAACGTGATATCCTCAGAAACGGATCAATTCGTCGAAACAAATCAGGCCGCTCAATATGGTTATTGGGTGCATAGACCTCAATGAGATGAAGAACATTATGGTATTATCCAACACTCAAAGCCTGCCCGCTCCGATCTGTGAAGACAAGCGTACAGGCAAACTTCACAAACAAGAGACATCTCTCGAGTTACCATCAAAACCTGCTGATTAGAGAGCGAACTCCCTAGACAGAATGCCCTCATAATCACCAGTTGTAAAACGGGCCTCATGCACACAATATATATTCACCCCGAGACGATGAAGATCATGAGAGAGCCTCCCCCTACGAGACTCCGACCTCAGGCCCCAGGCATTCACAGTAGCCAAAGTGAGTGCCATTATTAAACCGATTAGGGTTGCTCTTCTACATTGGACATAGCCGGGGTGAGACTCCGGCGGCATGTCCCATTGATCCAGTGCCCATCTCACACTTGATGGTGTCATCAAGAGGCAGGCCGCCAATATCCCCGGGATATGTTAGGTTTAGGGCCTTATACAGGGATGATTGAACGAAAACGGGGGGCCTCCTTGTGCAATGTTTTATTTTTTGAATTCACTCAGGTAGGCCGCTTTGTGCACCAATCTCAGGATCGGTGCACATGTTAGCCTCCTCGATGATGTCACTTATCTCCTGCGTACCCAAGCCGGCGACATCACCCTCTTGTCTTTGAGAAAGTTTTTAGAAACCTCAATGTCCTTGATATGCCGAAAATTGAACAGAACTTTCTAGTCCTTCGAGTACCTTGTTTGACTGAAGCCCTTTTTAGCCTGTTTCCGGGATACGCGGCAGACGTCTTCCCCAAGGTATGTATAGAGGTTTAATTTTTTTTTAATTTTCTTTCCGACACGGGTGGGGATTCCGGCTGTTGTTCCGCTTTGTGTTTTCTGTTTTCATGGGGAAATTAGAAGGTGTGAGGGTAGGAGTGGCTTTGGTTTTGTTTTTGCAATAGGTATAGGTGTGTTTTGCAATGGTGAGGGGCGTAGTAATGGAATGTCTTGAACTGAAGGTTTAAGTTTTGACAGGATATTCGTTAGTGATTTAGGTGGTGTTGAAGGATGCAATGGTTTTTGGATGTTGGGGAAGACTAGACAGAGGATGACGTACCCGGTACTCCTAGCATCATTTTTGGGCCCCCTTTTCATCTAACTGTCCTTTTAATCGTTTGATATTTTTTTCGATCATCTACCAATTTTTCGTTTATTTTCTGTGTACCAGAGATCGCTTCACAGTATGAGGCTGAAAAATCGCCTTTAGAGCTTATAGATGGAATGGGGTTTTAGGTGATTTTTTTAAGGTTAGAGTCATGCTTGGACCGAGTCACCGCTATTCGTCTCTTCCTTTTTCCCCTACCGACGACACGCCACCCACTTCTTCCTCCTCTTTATCTGCACTTGCGGAAGGCTTCGTATTTGGGGAAATGTGGGAGAGAGGGATTTTTATTACAGGCGCCGTAGAACTAATAGTATCGGTGATAGGGGGATTTTAGTGACCAGCGCCGGAAGGATGAGATGTGACCATTCTCTCCACACCTCCATCTAGTCGGCTTTTTGCCAGTTATAATGACCGGCATTTTCAGGCCGCTAAAGTTCAAACAGTTGTGGATGAAGACGTTCAGGTTGTTGAAAATGACACCTAAAATTTGTCTGTACTACGTGAAGAATGCAGACAGGTTCTCTCCCGACACCTGAGGAGAAACCTCGAATACTGCTAGACGTCTTTCGCCTAACCTCGCATATGGTACATAATATCAGGTCGTTGGTTATCTATTTACGCCTCGCTCTTTCGAGGCAATCTTCGGCAGGAGCAGAAGTATGTCCAACACAAAATTTCTGGGTTTTTTTATTCCTTTTTGGGGTTTAATCTCCAGAAACATGAGTGATTTTATCAGGTGTTTTTCATGGAGCAACAAATTTTGCACGTACGCTTGAAGACCGCGAATACTGACAATATTCGCTTTAGAATATCTTTACTTCTTGGACGTCTTCTGAGAGTTCATCTTGTACAAGATGTGCGTAACTTTTAGCGTTT